CCATGGATTTAAAGGAACACCTTTACTGGACAGACTAATTTGGCCAACAGTAAACAGAACCTAGTAGCCACTAATTAGCATTGTTTATTTTTCATAATTCTAATTGGTGGCTGTTCACTTCCATGTATTGTTAGCCACATTAGCATTTTGACTTACATATTCCTTTAATTTGAAATGTCTTGGTGATATATATTGTATTATCGGTGGCAAAAGAGATAACGTCAAAACTATAGAATATACTCTTCAGCGAAGCTTTTGTGTAGAATTTGCCTGTAGGAACAGGACCAAACTGATTCTGAAGCACAAAAGCTTTTGTTTTTGAATGGAAACTTTTGTTAGAAGTTTGCTTTGCTAGAAACAAGGTGCAAATCTGGTAGTTAGCAGCTCTCAAATCCCAAAGCAAGACAAATGTTGTGAATTGTTGGTTAGTTTAGTAATAGACTGTGTGAAGAAGGAATGATGATAGATAAATATACATGCTGTTTCACGCTATTTGGACTGTGCAATTAGCCATTAGCTAAAGTAGATAAATGATGGTGGTATTCAAAATTACACTATAACATGTCTAATAAACATCTAATATGGTATATAAATGTTTAACATGGTACGTAGAGCTGTTGTAGTAGCAGGTAGCAGTAGCTTAGCATGCTACAGCTTGAAACAACTCAGCATAGGACTTATTTCAGCTCACTGAAGCTCTACTGACACAAGTTTAGAGCTCAGAGACTCCGATCTGAAGGAAGAGAACCACACAGTCTATGGAACCTACGCTGTTTTGTGTGGAGCCGCTAACTTAGCTTAACCTTGTTAGCATCCAGAGATGATTAAAACAGCATCATATACCATGACACACGTTTGATAACTGCTAGTCTAGAGGATGAAGACTATCCTTGACTGGTGTTGGGATGACAGAAAGACAGAATCTAACCTGTTCTTTGGTGTGCTGAGCTGAGTTATCAGCCTGCTAAGCTTTCACTAGCACCGCTCAACACTTAGCACTGCTGTTCAGTGTGTGGCTTAATATTTATTGGGCGATCTTGCTATTATAATTTTACTGTATGCAGGGTAGTGGGGGTTTGAAAACAGGGATGCAAGGGACATTTACAATATGCATAATCATGTATATTCATAAATCTGTGCATTCCTAATAAATGTGAAGGTTTAGGGATGCTCCTTTGGAGCAGTTTCCAGGGAATAATAATAATACATAAAATACATAACCCACTTTATTCTTCTTATTATGCTTTATTATTATTACTTTACGTATTGTTCAACATAGATTACGTTTTTATGGTTTAAAGTATGACCTTCTAGGTACGTTTAGGTCTTTAAATGAAATGAGTGCAGAACAGCTTCCAAAGTTAAATAAATACCATGACAAAATAGTCATGATCACATATTTTGGGATTAAACAAGATAATGCAATTACACTTAATTTAAAAGATTTAAAAACCTAGCTAAAACAAAACAAATTTCCAATTTAAACATAGTACATGAAGTAAAAGATGGCCTTAACAGTATATAACATTTTTTTAATGAAATCACAAATCATAGATGATATATTTATGGTTTAAACTATGACCTTATAGGTACTTTAAGGCCTTTAAATGAAAAAAAAAATGAGTGCAGAACTTTTTTAGTTTGAAATAATACCATGGTAAAACAGGTAGAATCACATATTTTGGGATTAAACATTGATAATGCAATTGCACTTCATTTAAAAGATTTAAAAACAAGCTAAATCACAGTACATGAGGTGAAAGAAGGCCTCAACAATGTACAACGTTTTTTAATCAAATCACAAATTGTTTTATAGTGTGCCTCTCTTCTTTAACACATGAAGATACATGACAAAAACTCTCAATTGCAGAGTCACATAAATCAAGTAAACTGCCTTTTCCATTCTTTAGAGTCCATGCCTAGAGTGCTGCTCTATTGTTAGTCAGCTATAGTGTGTGAGCAGTCTGGATCTGGTATCAAAGCCACGCTCAGCACCTTTACGGGCTGTGCTGAAACGAAGCCATGTCAGTAAGCTGGAGATGGTGTAAGGTTCCACATCTACAGATAGAACGTGATCTGATCAGGCAATTTCAAAAAGAGCAGAGTGACGTGTCAATTGAGGCGGCTCTCTTTTGTCACTAAGGCACCATCAATCTTCCTCGTATCAAAGCTGGACTTGTCAGGAGTCCCTCGCCAACAAACGGTTCGACATGGATCCAAGGACATAAGCTGGTGATAAAAGACGGGAGGAAAAAGACCCAGCAATGACAAATCATCAGCAGCGACACATTCGAGGGTGTGAAAAAAGTACCAGAGAGGCCGCTTTTGTCTCTCTGTGACACATGACTGCTATTAGAAGAGCAGGAGAGGCTGAATGCAGGCAGCACTCTGCAGTTCATTTGGCTGTAGAGGTGAAATGTGCTCGGAGAGGTTGGTGTGAGGCAGGCGTCATCGCACTCTCATGTTTCACTGGATCACGGCATGCTATTTTAAGTGTTTGTATATGTTCTAAAGTTCCAGCCTCAAAGCCCTCTGGGTCCTTGAATATATTGTGACAAACCACCTCCATAAATATGTATCCCGGCTTTGACTCTAATTACTTTGCGATGCACTGCAGGCCGAGGCTGCCTTTACCGGCTAGAAAAGCCCAGTGGTCTCTTAATGGAATACCTCAACCCAAAAAATGCTAACGTTGCTAATGAAGAAAGAAAAGCAGGCAGGGTCCCTTTAGCATAATTCAGATTTGATTATGCTAATAAGGCCACGCTAACGTTCTAAACTTACCTCACTTCCCACATCCTAATACCTGAAGAACCTTCACTGCAGACTTTACAGCTTTTATTACTATCTCTCTCTTTATAGGTTGTTTATTTAGTTACTTATTTTATTATACCACAATAACATCACATGTGCAATTTAATTATCCCCACTAAACACATGCACCAACATATTTGCCCATCTCATTACATTTTGTATGTCTTTATGTGCAGTTTTATCACCAGCTTAATATTATCTATACAAGGTATATTATTTAGTATAGGTATATATTTATGATAGCTATATACACCTATATTATTTATTATTTTGCTATATTATGTATTAGAATGAGGGATTTTCTAGCCTACAACTAACATTGAATGTGCCGTTTGGTACAGTTGTATGCAAATGTTTGAACACCCTGATCAAATGACCTCTTTTATTGATTTTCTAAGTGAAAATAGGCTTAACATAATGGAAAAAGCCAAACACAAAATGTGCCATAGCTTTTGCACCGGCCACATTTTATAATATTTTTTTCCAATTTGTTAAAATCCACAAATAAACAGTAACTGTGTATCAAAATGTGCAGAAGTGTTTCTTTGTGGAAGATGTTTAAACTTATTTTCAATTAGAAAATTAACAGAAAGACCCAAACTTCTGCATACAACTGTATGTTACATAGGTCTAGTACTGTGTAGTGCAGCGCTGCATCCCCCAGCCTCATTGGTTTGATAAAGTTCACAATTATTTATTGTTTCATCAGTGTTCTCTCACTACAATACCCAGCATGCACCCAGCATGCACCCAGCTTTTACACTAAGCTTAGTAGTTACTAAATATTTCAACCCACCCCTAAGCTGGTGCATGTTGCAACATGTTTTGATTTCATATGTCAAGTAATGTTTAAACTGGCCTTCACTTGAATTACATACAGCTAGTGTGACTACTCTACATTGTTTATATGTTAAGTGTTATTTGTTTTACAATCCTACACCAAAAACTGACACATGCCTGTGCATTTTAAAATCACATTATGTATTGGTGAACAAAGCATTTTTGGATTCTGGTTAGCTATGTTAGCAATTTGGCCAACTCTTTTAATGTCGGAGGGAAAATCCACACGGGAAGTCCCTCAGCCCAGCTGTACTGGAGGTCTGCCGGCGACTCCACAGGGAGGAGCATGTGTGGCGGCTTTGACCCAGCAACCTTGGAGACTCTTCTGTTACAACAAACCTGGTTTTAGAATGACCTCTCACGCTTACTGTACTCAACGGGTCAGGGGAGGTCAAGGGCTGTCTGTGTTTAGTGAGACAGAGGCTGAAAGCGCTAATACAAACAGAAACAACAGGTGGATGGTGAAGGTCGTGGCTGTGGTGGGTGGCATACACCGCAGTGATGTTGGAATACATCGAGCTCAGCCTCTTTCGGCTGATTCTGACGCCTTTGAACACCTTCAGTTTTGCCTTCGATTTCTTTTAGAACACATTTAGAACAGATTCCTGCATATTTTGGGCTTTTCACTGTTCTAACACTTCTAATCCAAGCAGTCAGCTAATTATCAAGACTTTTCTGAGTTAAAGTAGGCGAGTTAGAGCAGATAAAACACCAAAACGTAAATAGCAGGGGTACTTCAGGACTAGGATCAGATATCTCTGATTACATATTAAGCCTCGTCTTTTAGCATCTTTTTTTAGCTCTTTAACAGTTTTTAAATGCATATTTCACTTTTTAATGAAGTGGTAAATTATTCAAACCTGAACTGACAGCTGCCTCAGATGTGAGTCATACTTTAGTATCAAAATGTTTCAGCATTTCATTACACATTTGATCAGCTGCACTGTTAGAAATAAAGGTTCTGTGCAGGTACATTCTTCGTTCATCAAGGTACAAACAATGTAAATGTTCCCTCAAAGGTACAACAGTGGTTTTAATGTTCAACTGTGTACCTTTAATAAGTTTTTCCCCAGTGAAAATGATTTATTTGTGCCTTTTCATAACCTGATGTTTTAAAACAAACAATAAAAAATAAAAAAGCCTGGAGACGAGACGGGGTGTGTGGAGTCAGTACAATTTAGAAAATATAATTTCAATGGATTATGGTACAGTTATGTTCCCTGACTAAAGCTACTGATATGTACGCTTGAGGGTACCACCCCAGTGACAAGAATGGTCCTGCCCCAGTGACAGTTTCATACCTTTATTTCTGAGTGTGTGCAGAAAAAGCCAGTGGGGCTATCTCAAAGTACAACTCATAAAACTACATAAGCCTTTCATAATAACAGACATTTACCTATATCAGGGGCATAGTCAGCCTAAGGGGTGGGTCTATTTCCCTAAAATGTGGACCTTTTAATTACAAGCACAGGGTATCTTATGTAGGTCAACCTTTGACCTGATACTACAATTACATTATTAACCACAGCAATCAGACGGCTTTCCCCCCAGTCTTATCTAGCACGTCTTTTACACAATTCACCAGGTCCTGTTCTAAGAATATCTCAAAACAAGCCTAACAAAATGAACAGATTCCACACACTTACAGTGATACATTTTATGTCGAGTATAATGAGTGCATTTCAGTGATTTCTGCAATAAAAAGTTCTGTTTTCTCTCAGTTAAACTCTCACTATTATTGATCCATTATTGGCTAATCATTGTCAACAACAACAGTCTGTTCTAAGCTGTGAATAGTACTTCTATATTCATCCAGACTATTATATTCAGCCAGCACTACTATATTCAGTATAAATCTTTCCTGAAGCAGATTTTATGCCATCTTTTATACTATTTTATATCAACAAAAGGACGGCATCTGGAGCCTTGCAAGGACACTGATGCAGTACATCAAACATTAGCTCTGAGATTATCTTAGTGTAAGCCAGAAAATCTACCGGTATTTGGCTCTTGGTGGGTGTTAATCTTGGACCTTGAAACGTTATTCACTTGTTGCTTATGTTGGAGCTGGGAATTAAAATAGAATTGAAATAGACCCACCTGCTCTCCTTAAATTTGAGGGAAAACTAAAAGTGTCCGTTTCAGCTTTCTTTTTTTGCTGTTTGCTTTTACACATGACCAGAATAATACCTGTACCACCTTTCAGTAAGTAGACCAGCAACCAGATCAATAACTTCACCAGAGAACCTGAATCCAATGATTCACGATTGCGAAGATTCTCTGGAAATATAATCTTAATTATGTTAAAATGCCTTTTATAAAATGTTAATGTAGGTTTATGTCACCTGTCATAAATGGCTTATGTAGGTGTCATGTAGTTCTAAGAACGCCCCCTTGATTAAAGTGTCACAGCACAAACTGATATGGTGCATTCTGCCACGGAAAACTCGAGTTATGAGTCCCCTGTACGTCAATGCATGTCAATACATATTACTGTTGTCTGAACAAACCTTTTACCAAAATGGTAACTTTACAGGTGAAGGAAAATGTTCTGAATTTTAAAGGAAGTTAATGTAAATCGAGTTAACTGTAAGTCGTTTTGGACTGTTCTTATTGATCCATTCATCATGGAACTTTTCACACAATATGAAGAGCAAAAATGGCATTGTCAAAAATGTAAAACATAACCAAAAAAAACAAAAATGGAGATGCAAGGTTTTGCTCCAACAGCAATGATAGGTATCATCTTTCTCCTACCACCCTCTGGAGGGGGGCTCCATAGACTGGTCAGTGCAGACAACCCTTCCTCATCCTCTAATGACATCTAATGGAAGTCTCTGGACTGTTACACCCACTCAGACTTCTTCTCCTGTCCATCTCCACTGCTGGACGGCAGGTCATTTCCTGTGCTCATCTCCACCAGTGTGTATTGCCCTACTCTCCTTGTACAAACCGCTGTTGCTTCCGTGATGTCCAGCGCCCCTGCGCTTGCAGGTCTGTCCTTCCTAGGAGGAGGTGGCGGCTTGAGACGACTACGCTTATTGACCCGGATGGACCTGGGAGTGCCCAAAGGTTCAGGTGGACAAAGCGCCACTTCACTGCCCTCCCGCTCCATCCCTTCATCCTGAGGAATCGGATAACCACTAGCTTTGTTACCATTGATAGAGCCAGGTATGCCAAGGTTGATACCTAGAGGAGGTCCTTCATGAGGTGCAGGTAGATGAAGGTCTCCTTCTAATTGCAGTGAAGCACCATCATCAGCACAGGCCTTGCTAATTCTTTTACGGAAGCTTCCTCTGGCCAGCAAGTCCTGAGGTACAGGAGGGGCAGAGTTTGTGCCTCCATTTCCAGAAACAAAGTACCTCTCTTCCTCATACATCTTCTCCACCAGCATCTTCTTCTTGCTCTTCTTCCTGACCGACCGCTTGATGGCACAGGTCAGATCAAAGATGTTGAGAAGAAGGGACAGGGCAGCCACCCCCAGCATATAGTTCAGCATGATGGTTTTCTCAGTTGGTCTGGATATGTAACAGTCCACCATGATGGTGCATGGAGACTGCTGGCACATGAAGCGCTTAGGAATGTGGAAGCCGAACAGGTAGTAATGGGCAGCTCCAAAACCAGCTTCTAAAAGAATCCGGAGCAGAAGGTGGAATATGTAGGCCCCTGTGAAACGGCGCAGCCTCCCAACCTCAGACTTCACAGTGGCCTTTGACAGGGATGTATCACGCAAAGGTTCCTCATAGATCTTGTAGAGAGATCCAAGCTTCATCCTCTCAGAAGCTTCAAGATCAGCCGGCAGGTTGGACAGAACTTTGTGGATCACATAGACTACGAATATAATGTAAGGTAGGCAAATGGAAGTAAGCTGGACCAGCCAGAAGCGGAACAAGGACAGCGGAGCGAATATATCGTAACACACGTTGGCACAGCCAGGCTGGATAGTGTTACACACAAATCTGTCCTGCTCATCCTGGTAGAGAGGATAGCCGGCAAAGAAGAGGACCAGTATACGCAAGAAGACCGTCAGGACCAGCCATACCTTCCCTACAAGATGAAAAAACCAACGTCATGGATCCGATTAAGCTAGGAACAAGGTTTAAAGGACATGAATTGGCATCGCAACAGAAAATGGACACGTCTAAAAAAGTAAACAATTTAACTATACAGTTGTCACAAAATATATTCAAATGATTTACAGTCGTATGCAAAATTTGGCCAAATTTCATTGGTGACACTTTATTTTGAGTGGTCCTTTTAAATGAAACAAACACTCAGTAACATCAAAAACATATGAGGGTTAGGGTTAGGTGTTGGGTAAGGTTGGGTAAGGTTAGGTTTTGCATAATGGAAGTAACATAACACATTTACTTACATCTAAAAGATATTTACTTCAGTGTATTCAGATGCTTCACTACTGCTACTTCGCTGATATGTTGTTGATGTGTTACTGATAATCTGTTAAGAGTTTATTAATCATCTACAAAGGACCACTCCAAATAAAGTGCTACCATTACGTTTTGTTGATTTTTTAAGTGAAAATAATGCTGCATTTGACTGAAGCTTGTAAATCCAAATTTCCCAGCTCTGCATAGGAAAAATCAAAGAAAATACGGAATGGTGTTCTCAACTCTGAGCTCAGCGTATGACATCAAATCAACAGGGCTGCTCACACCGTAATACAGTAATAGAGTACAGTAATAAAGACCCATATTTCTACTTTTAAATGAGATTTGCCTTAGATCAGTCAACAAACATGCACAATAATTAGCTAAATTTATAACAATGACCTTAAAATTTGGGGTTTCGAGAAGGTAAATACGTTATAAACGTTCAAGTCATATCCCTAACTTTAGCAGGTTAACTTGTGGCCAACAGTACTTATTTTCATGTAGGCTTCCATGTTTTTTTCAATGTGTAGCCTGAAAATGACGCAGTTCCAAGCTCCCTTGTTACTTCCCACTTCCGAGACAAGTCAAACACAGCATAACTCTACATCCTTTACAGAGAACACACTTTTACATTACACTCACATATTTTAATGCACAATTACTGTTCATTTGCTGAATTCAGCATATTGGGGAAAAAAAAACAAAAAAAAACGTGTAGCATTTTAGCATTTTATGTTAGATTTTTTCCCAGTATGTTAAATTTAGCTAGTAAATAGAAATTGTGTACTAAAAAAATGCCATATTTAAGCTTGTTTTCTGTAGAGGATGTGTTGACTATACCTTGACTTAGAAAATCAACAAAACATTTGACATTTGATTTGACTTTAAACATTTGCATATCACTGTTTAATGCCTACAGTAAAAAGCAGTTTATTTGCATATATTTTCTTTGCATCTTTTCCTGTGAACAATATTTCATTCACAGAAAATCAGGCTTTCTTTAAACAAATACTGAACCAGGAATCTCAGAAGGTCTTACAGCAAGTCTTTTCAATTCAGAGATTTACCTACAATGTGATGCTACTGCTGGTTGTTTTCTATGACACTGCAGAAGATTATATATGAAAGGCTACAGACAGATTAGAAGCCTGAAAGGTTATAATTGTCATGCAATGACTTTTTGTGGGTTTTCTAATTTTACAAATGAACGTTTTGCTGCAATTTGATTCTTAGTTCAAAACATACTATGTCAATAATTCACATTGCCAAATTAAAGGAACTTAATCCTTTACATTCTATGATTATTATTCAGTTATTAAGGTTAAGTAACTCTTTAGAATTAATCCGTAACTACCATGGAACTAATATGAAATACATAAGTTATATAAGGAATATATAAGTCATATAAGTTAGGAAAGGAAAAATGGAGCCAATAAGCTTTAAGTGCATAACCTACCCACAATAGTGATGTTGTAGTTCAGTGCGATGAAGACAGCCTCTGAGGGACTCTGCCTCCCCATGACTTCAGATCATGAAGAGAGCCCACCACTAAGAACTTAACTTGCTTTTTCTCCAGGTGAGAGTCACAGAATCACATTTAGTCCCTGCTAAGGAACTGAAACTGATCCAATTAAAGCAATCCAGAATCCCAGCAGGGAAGGCGAGACGGCTGGGCCTAGCCTGGTGTCATCCACACAGCTTCTGCCGCTGCTTCCTGTCTTACCTCTCTCTCCCTCGCCCTGTCCAGGACGACAACTGTTCTCAGACAACAGAAGACGAGAGACACGAGCTCCATTGTGGGGCTATTCTTACCCACCAAAGGCACGTCGGCGCTCAGGCATTGCTGAGATACCTCGGCTCTGTTTGTCCTTACAGGAGAATACCCAGCATCAGGATTAGCCCTCAGATCGCCTGCATTAACTTCTCATCTCCAGTGGAAAATGTTTTAATATCAGGCTGTGGATCGTCTTCATCAAGAAATAGACCAACAGACCAGCTTCAGTTTGATGATTTTAGGACATCAATGCAGTCATACATGCATCTCTCAAAAGTTTGAAATCATTGCTGAAAAGTTGAGTCACTGTTTTCAAGAACATATAGGAAAGGTGGAAAAAGTGTGTGAAAGTATGAGCACCTTGACAAAATCTGACTCAATTAAATGTGGAAGCTTGAAGCCAAAAATATACGTGAGTGAAGGTCAAAGCATATCTACATTAAAAATACTCAGGTGAATACAAATGAAATGTAAATGTTTTAACAGACATAATTAAGAGTGTTTTGTTTGTTTATTGGTTTTATGCAGTGACTACCTGCAGTACCAATCTTTACACAAAGATAAGCAAGCATAGTTGTGGGCCGTTCCATTTTATACTGATATATTTACTTGGTTGGATGCTTTAATAAAAATAAATTCAAATGTACAGGAACTCAACTGATCAATGAGAGAGAAAGGAAAACCTCCTGGCCTCTGGGATATAAAACATGCAATTTGAAGGTCAAAGTGAAAATATAAGGAGTAAAAATCATGTTAGTTCTGTTGAGAATGTAATTGAGCATAAGTAAACATTACTTATTTTCAGTAATATTCTAAGAGAAAACTTACTTATAGTAACAAAGAACTACTCAGGTATTTTCCATCCTAATATAAAACTAATTTGGTTGCAGGTAAATGTATAAATGGTTGTAATCTGCCATTTCTGTGCAACTTCACAGTTTTAAATAATTTGTCAGTTTTCAAGATGGATGGATAGATAGATAGATAGATAGATAGATAGATAGATAGATAGATAGATAGCTACACAGATGGACAGATGGACGGACAGAATTAGGATTGGTAGAACTCCAGAATTATAAACATATCTGTACATGACGCTAAATGATGGAAAAAGCTGTATTACATTAGGAATGAAGATACAATATTTAAAAAATAGTGATCATATATACACATATATACATACTGTACATATAACATATATAATGTTTGTTGTTCCAAAAATACAAGAACATCTAAAAATGCATGTTTGTATTGTTTAACTATACTTTATTATACGTTATTACTGGCTATACAATTACTAATATAATAACTCTTAAACAGTAGTGTATATCACAGGTGCGCTTTGTAAGATTAGCAGGTCCTCAGCTTAGCAACACTGTAATTGTTCAGCTTTGGGGACCATTTTAATGCTATTTAAAGTCTGAAGTCTGCATGTCTATGTACAGAAGCTTCACATATTCAATAAATTTATGACTTATTTAGGCTTTCCTGAGTGATGCTATGTCCAGCACTGCCATATTAATGAAAATGCCCTTCATTTTAATTTGGTCCTTATGACATTTGGCATGACTGGATGCCAGTGGCTCAGAGAAGACTGAAGTGGAAATCTCCTGAAGCCTTTAAACCATTCTAAATGACCTCAGGGAGAGGGACATCTGGACTGGCAGACGGAGTTAAACTGGAACCCGTTCTCTTATGAATGGAGCCTTATGTACATGAGCACTGAACACTGGCACTGAGCAGTGCATGATGAGGTTTCTGCTTGGTGGGGTAACTGAGTGGCGAAACATGGCGTGTACAGAGCTAGCATTAGAGGGATTCAGTTCAGATGCTCATGTAAACCCAGGGGAGCTTTCAGCTGAGCAGTGGGCCCCTTTATACAGATAGAAGTTTTGCGCTTGGTACAGCTTAGCGGTGTAGTCTTAGTCTGAAAAAATGGGTAACTAGCTGACCCTCAGAGACCCTCTGGGTCTTCTAGGCCTTCAGAATAGGCCTAATGATTTCTGTGAAATAAAAAAAAAAAATACATGTCTAACATTTAGCTCATGTGTATTTAATGGAATCATCATGCTTGTATTGTTGCATATTATTGCATGTTGTATTGTTGTATTGACCTTCTGGAAGTCCTAGATCCATCACTGACTGTGAATATGAGTGGTAACCTAACCAGTGAGCTGCAGTCATAAATTAAAAATGAAAAACAGTGGCAGCTCTATGCCTGGGCTCTGAAGAAGTTCTTTCACAGAAGAATTACACAAAATTTGTATATAATTACACTCTTCTTCAGATTGATGGACAGTGTGTTTTATATGGTTCTACATACACCAATCAGGCTTAACATTATGACCCTTGTTTCTACGCTCATTGTCCATTTTATCAGCTCCACTTACTATATAGGTGCACTTTGTAGTTCTACAGTTACAGACTGTAGTCCATCTGTTTCTCTGCATACTTTGTTGGCCCCTTTTCACCCTGTTCTTCAGAGGTCAGGACCCCCATGGACCCTCACAGAGCAGGTACTATTTGGGTGGTGGATCATTCTCAGCACTGCAGTAACACTGATGTGGTGGTGGTGTGTTAGTGTGTGTTGTGCTGGTCTGAGTGGATCAGACACAGCAGTGCTGCTGGAGTTTTTAAACACCTCAGTGTCACTGCTGGACTGAGAATAGTCCACCAACCAAAAATATCCAGCCAACAGCGTCCTGTGACCACTGACGAAGGACTAGAGGATGACCAACATAAACTGTGCAGCAGCAGATGAGCTATCGTTTCTGACTTTACATCTACAAGGTGGTCTGACAAGGTAGGAGTGTCTAATAGAGTGGACAGTAAGTGGACACAGCGTTTTAAAAGCTAAAGCAGCACTGCTGTGTCTGATCCACTCACATCAGCACAACACACACTAACACACCACCACCACGTCAGTGTTAGTGCTGAGACTGATCCACCACCCAAATACTACCTGCTCTGTGAGGGTCCATGGGGGTCCTGACCACTGAAGAACAGGGTAAAAGGGGGCTAACAAAGTATGCAGAGAAACAGATGGACTACAGTCTGTAACTGTAGAACTACAAAGTGCACCTATATAGTAAGTGGAGCTGATAAAATGGACAATGAGCGTAGAAACAAGGAGGTGGTCATAATATTAAGACTGATCGGTGTAGAACCTTTTTGAAAAGGGCTCTATATAGCAGGCTTGACATCGTAACAATAGAAGAGCCCTTTTTGGTGCTATATAGAGCCCTTTCCAAAAGAAGTTCTATACAGAAACATCTACAGCACATTCTCCATCAATCTGACGAACGCTTTAATCATGTGAAAGGCTCCTTGAGTGTTCATGATTCTATATAGAACCAACTGCTTTACTAAAGAACCCTTAAACAACCACTATTTTTAAGAGCGTACATTGTTACAATGCAAACTAAGTCATTCAGAGTGGTTTGATGTAAAATGAGAAATTTAGAGAAACTTCCCAAGTCTGAATTATTATCACATGAAAAACAATAAATGCAGTGTAGAAAGGTACTAGCAACAGCTACTCCCTATTGTTTAGGAAAAATAGCTCCTAAAACAACTCATCAACATATAAAACTCAGAACACATGTTGGTTTAATGGTCATGCTAGATAGTTAATAATGTAAATTTGCATAGTAGCCATTGCGACCCCTGGTTCCTATCACTACTCTAGATAAACCAGAGATGGGAGCCCTCTCTGCAATGAACTATTTCACATCAAACCACTCTGAATGTTTATGAATTATATTAAAAATTGTGGAATATCTGTTTAAATGATCCTAGACAAATCATAGAGGTTTCCAAGGGGGTCAACAGTGTATACCTGCATGTAGACTCTGTTACTGCTCACTGTATTAAATGCATAAATCTGTGTTGTGTGTGCGTTTCCTCTCACTGTGCTAGCAATTGATATTCAACGTTGGTTTATTATAGAAAGAAAAAAAAAAACTGCACTGTTTTCTCATTCATTAGTGAGAAGGGTTCGCCAAATGAAACAGCTGTCTGGAGACTTGGTTTATTAAGCATTACACTCACCTGTCTCCTGGGTAAATATCACTCTAAAAGTGTGTCACATTGTGTAACAAATCACTGCAGGGCTGCAGGGGAGCTGGATGAATTAGATTTTCATTGTGCGCATGTGGCTGTGGAGCAGTGGAACGTAAATTAGAAAAGAAGTAAAGGGAAAATTGTGAGTGTTCAGTCCTGAGTGGTCTATACGTTGCACCCTAAGGCTTAAAACAGAAAGAACTTCAATCACTTGCTTGGCAAACATATCGATCCAAGCGAAGTCTGTCAGGGATTTTATTGGGTACATGCTGTGCCTGGGCTATGCTAATAAGCATTATAAAATATTAAGAAGAATTGACATTATATAACAGCAGCTGGCTGTGATGCAGACAAACACCACTGTGCTTGTTTTGCTTGGTTGATTGTGGTGACACTGGAGGTCACGGCAAGCTGCAGTGCTATGCAAGCCATGTGGACAATTACGTGACCCAGTGGGAGCCACTAAGACACGCCTGATATTTAGGGCATACATATGACCTGTTCCACTTTGATCGATGTGTTGGTCAAATCATAGAAAGAGCTTGAAAAATATGGCATTCTCTAAATGTTCTTACCTAAACCATCACCCTCTACTGCTCATCATTTCATCTCTGCCTCTAACTCGATTAGCAGACCAGCTGGTCATCATCCAGCCTCTTGCTGAAGGCACATTTAAGGCTGGTCAGCGAGTGTTAATGCAATGCAGGACCCACTGACCTGGCATGCTCCATATGGGACACATTTAGAAGTGTTAAGGCTCCAATCTAGGCCTTAGGCCTGAGCTCAGACAGCACTGTCTGAAATTCTGTGAACTACACAGTTCATTTCAATGACACCTCCTATGATGCATTTATAAGGCATTATGTGGCATGCATAATACC